AATTCCAGAAGCGAAAAAAAGCACATAAACTTTTTCTGATATCAAAGGCTCCGCCTTGTACTGTGTGCTCTGAGAGAGTTCGGGTGGATTAGGTTACAATTATAACCATAACAGAATACAGAAATTCGAGACAATCTGAAGAAGCAGACTTTTGTGATGTTAATATTATCTAGTGTTGAGGACTCCAAGCATGGATTGCATTAGTAGTTTTGAGGACTCCATCAAAAGCTTGGATTGTGTTAGTTAGCGAACTGACCTTCGATATATTCTTATAACTTATCTTAAACTTATCTTATCCCAAGTGCTGACTTAATTATCTCTTCATTGTGGTTGGAATGAGCAGTTTTTGTTATCATCCAAATGAGCAGTCTTTATCTATTGAGCAGTAGGCTGAAGGGCACATGCCAAAATGGCCGCTGGCTCTGGATGATGATGACGACATGAGCAGTAGGGCCAAGGACAGATGAGTCAGGCAGCCAACCATCATATCACATGACACTTTTTTTATAATGGAGTTTTAGCTCGGTAGGATTTTAGCTCTCTAGCATTTGAGCACAAAGAATTTTAAGAAATTTATTAATTATTTTCTAATTTTACGGACATTAAAACTCTTTTTTTAAAGTATGTCTTTTAAAAAAAAATGATTTTAAAACTTAAACATTTTGACCGGAAGTGAGATTATTAGTGAGAGCACGCTCTGTCATGCAGATCTCTAAGAAGGTTTCACTCTGTGTTTGTTGGTTGTGCCTAGCAAGTCGAGCAATTACTTTAATTTAATGTGAACTTATAATGTCTTGTACAGATTTGACTTTAAAGGCAACTTTTCTGAAATGATTGTATGTATAGTTTAGCGCAATTATGCACATATACATGATGTATGAATTATGTCATTGTCATGTATAGTTGAACATAATTTGCATTCAATGAAATATTTTTTGTACAAATAATCTTCTCTAAAATTTGTTCCAGGCCGGGACATAATTTGTTATAATAGTTTTTTATAGATTTAGACAGATAAATTTTGTTTCTTTATTGTTGCACTTTTACTGTATCTCAGCTCATGTCAGTTTTTTATGAAACTTTTGTAACTTGGTCGCATACTTGAAATTTTAAGTTTATTTCGTAAAATAATATAGACACATCGAGTCATCTAAAGGGGGATTGATATAGGAAGTGAGTAAAACAAGTAAGGTTAAGCCTGAAAAAAAGGAACGCAACAAAACAAGGAACGTGTCGGCAGGAAGCCTTCGTCAGCGAACAAAAAAAGATAAAACAGAATACATTTTTTGATAAATTTAAAAAATAGCACTTAGCTGAGAAGTAGTATCCGAGAGGGCAGCAATTGTCCTTACTTTGGTTTACTCACTTCCTATTGTACTAACCTCACTGCAGTTTCTCCCCTTATTACCCATCTAGAGGGATCCACGTAATTTATTTTATAGTGCATTCCTTGATGCAGTGGTCCCCAGTCTGTGCTTTGTTGGACCCTAAGGTCTACACATGGACTTCTAACAGAGCTCCGTGGCCGCCCCATGAAATAAAAAATAAAAAAAAAGTACTTCTCTAAACACGATAAACGTGTAGAATGTAGTTAGTGTTAAAGTAGTGTCAGGGCCGTGTTAAGGTAGTGTCAGGGCCGTGTTAAGGTAGTGTCAGGGTAGTGTTAAAGTAGTGTCAGGGCCGTGTTAAGGTAGTGTCAGGGCAGTGTTAAGGTAGTGTCAGGGCCGTGTTAAGGTAGTGTCAGGGCAGTGTTAAGGTAGTGTCAGGGCAGTGTTAAGGTAGTGTCAGGGGAGTGTTAAGGCAGGGTCAGGGCAGTGTGAAGGGAGGGTCAGGAAGGGCAGTGTTAAGGTAGTGTCAGGGCCGTGTTAAGGTAGTGTCAGGGCCGTGTTAAGGTAGTGTCAGGGCCGTGTTAAGGTAGTGTCAGGGCCGTGTTAAGGTAGTGTCAGGGCAGTGTTAAGGTAGTGTCAGGGTAGTGTTAAGGTAGTGTCAGGGTAGTGTTAAGGTAGTGTCAGGGCAGTGTTAAGGTAGTGTCAGGGTAGTGTTAAGGTAGTGTCAGGGTAGTGTTAAGGTAGTGTCAGGGTAGTGTTAAGGTAGTGTCAGGGTAGTGTCAGGACCAGAGCCGGCCTTAGGCCACTGCAACCTATGCGGCCGCAGTGGGCCCCGCACTTTATCTTCTTATAAAATCTTAATTTTCACTTATTATCCTTATCCCTAACCAGACTGGGCCCCGCGCAATCCGTTTCGCATAGGGCCCCGCAATTGTTAGGGCCGGCCCTAGACAGGGCCGTGTTAAGGTAGTGTCAGGGTGGTGTCAGGGTAGTGTTAAGGTAGTGTCAGGGTAGTGTCAAGGTAGTGTCTGGGTAGTGTCAGGGTAGTGTCAAGGTAGTGTTAAGATGATCACAGAAATTGATCTAAAAAAAGAGGCTCAACGAGTCTAGGAACGGAATATTTGTAAACTGCCGCCTCACTTTCAGCCACTTACAAGGGCAACAACTCAACTAAAGGGAATTAATAAATCATTGGGACGTTACATTGAGACAAAAATAGAAAACTTTCTATTTAGAACAATTGTCTAGAAAGCAAATACAACTTTTTAATATTTTTTTTGTTGAAAGGCTTACTGTTACTTTGTTGGCCAGATTTTGAAATGTTTTTTGTTTTTTCATTAACGACATTTATAATCATGTCAACGTTTAAAAGAGGATGTTATTCATGAACTTCCCGAGACCTACATTTCACATCTTACTTGACAGTGGATGAAACTATCTTCTCAGTGCAGAAGATGCCATTGGCAATGATAATACTTTTTATTGGGAAAAAACAGAGAAACAAAATGGACTATGAACCAACCTTCATACAGAGTATGTTCATACAGAGTATTTTGAGAAGAAGTAATTTAATTATAAAACTTTCATGAACAATAGGCTCTGCATAACGGCACGAATTTTCATTTGTTCCCATGACATTATGTTTTTTTTAAAATATATATCAGATGCAATGAAATTATATGAAAGCATTTTTTCCATTGTTAACAATTTAAATTTAAAGTGTTATCAACCACTCCTCTGTTAACAAGTCTATACAATTTAACTCTACTAACACAAAACGTGGTTGAACATTTCTGGGGGGTGTCATTTGTTCATGTTAAAACAAGCAAAACGCAATCATAAATTCATTTCTTGATATGGCTGTGTCAATTTATTTCCATAGCATGTTTTTGTAGGAATTGTTGAAACATTATCAGATATACAGATTTTTACAAATAAAATTTCAACTTAACGATGGATGCCGTTGTTGCTGTTGATGCCATTGTTGTTGTTGTTCTTTTCTGTAGTCGTTATGAAAAGTCAATGAATTGATGATAGAGAAGGAGCAAGACAAAATGATCTTGATTTCAGTGACGTAGCTAGGGGAGGGGAAGGGAGGTCCAAATTCGAAAGTCCCCTGGGCCCCTACTCAAGGGGGCCCCCCAAAGGCGTGTCCGAATTTTTTTTTACATTAAATAATGTCGAATGTCAAAATGCAGGGGCCCCTCAAGAGGCCAAGCCCCCCAGGCCCCCAAATCTCTAGCTACGCCACTGCTTGATTTACATTAATCGTTATAGCAACTGTACACATTTTTGCGTACCAGTCCATTTAATCAATTTGTATAGAGATAGAAGCTTAAGTGCAACAAAATACTGTAATGAACTAACAACAAACTTGGTGCCTAAGTAATGAAATCAATAAATATTAACCTTTAAAAGTTGTCAAATAAAAGTTTTAAAAACATTCTTATAAAATATTCATTTTTTAAATATGTAATTAAAAAAAGAAGCCACGGGTGAAGCATTAAAACTATTTGAGATTTATTTTTCCATTTGTGTTTCTATCTAGCTAAAATTATATCTTAAAACTTATTATCACCACCGAATAATGACAGCAGCAATCCGTGAACTTCCAATCTACTAAAATGATATGAAAAAACGTGCATTCATTTAAAGCTAACCATAAGAATATCAATTTGGTCTTTTGTTCCATGATATCTACAGAGTTATACATCTTTATGTATAGATGAGCTAGAAGAAGGGGAAAAGGAGAGAAGGGCAGAGCACTGTGTAATCAAATCAATGAACATTACATAAAAAATACTGTTAACACTGCTGTGCAAACCATGTGAAATAAAAGGCTTAGATAAAAGGCTTAGAACCAGTTAGGTTGAGGCACAAATGTCAAGATACAAATATCAGGATACAAATATCAGGATACAAATGTCAAGATACAAATATCAGGATACAAATATCAAGACAAGACAAGACAAGGAAATAAAAAGAACATTTCTGCTAAGTGTCTTCCTCCTCAACTATGCCATAAACAAAATAATACAAGGAAAAAAAAAAGCCAAAATGGATCATTAGAGAGTACGGTAGTTTTCATTGTGATTTACATTGTTCAGTGGATGTATGTTCAAGTGTTTGAAGATATTTGCATGTGTATATGTATGGATTTCTTTCAATACGTATTTAAACGTTTAAACAAAGAAGACAGTAAATATTTTTACTTTTATAAACATCGTTTATGCTAATAGAAATAACAGTAGCTGTTTGAGAGTTCAGTAGCTGGTAGAGAGATCCCATAAGGAAGTCAGTAACTGGTAGAGAGATTCCTTAGAGAAGTGAGTAGCTGTTAGAGAGATCTCAGAGAGAAATCAGTAGCTGGTAGTCAGAACCCATAGATAAGTAAATGACTGATAGAGAGATCCCACAGAGATGTTAATAGCAGGTAGAAAAGACCAACAGAGAAGCTAGTTGCTGGTGGAAGCACCCACAGAGAAGCTAGTTGCTGGTGGAAGCAACCACAGAGAAGCTAGTTGCTGGTGGAAGCACCCACAGAGAAGTTAGTTGCTGGTGGAAGCAACCACAGAGAAGCTAGTTGCTGGTGGAAACACCCACAGAGAAGCTAGTTGCTGGTGGAAGCACCCACAGAGAAGTTAGTTGCTGGAGGAAGCACCCACAGAGAAGTTAGTTGCAGGTAGCAGCACCTTGGAGCGTTATCGCCCCATCCACCAAGATGCATTGGCCCGATACAAAATTGGCGGCCTTGCTGGACAGGTAGACGATGACCTCAGCCTGCTCCTCGGGTGTGCTCGCCCGGCCGTGCAGGGGATGGAGTCTGGCAAACTGCTCCAGTAATGCGTTGTTGGCGTCAGGGTCGTCCGTGTAGTGGCGGTAGATGTTGGTGCTGACAAGAGTGGGATTCACTGCGTTCACTTGGACTCCTTAAACAATTTGGACAACAATAAATTTTATCAGCATTAATCCCGACTGGCAACTCACAAATTATGCCATCACAAATATTTTAACAAGACGAATTTTAGTTTTATCACAGTGTTAAAGTTTCAGTGATTTATCTGCAAAAATGTTTGTTATTTTATAAAAGAGATGAACTATATGACTACAGATCCAAACCGTCAACCACATATTGACTTATTGACATGTCATCAATCTATTTTGTTATTGGTCTGTAATAACCTTACCATAATGTGTAGTCTTCTCTGGTTTGACGACCTCTGTTTGACATTGTCAAGAAATTTAATGATAAAACACACGATGTGCATGATAAAACACACAATGTGTATGATAAAACACATGATGTGCATGATAAAACACACGATGTGTATGATAAAACACATAATGTGCATGATAAAACACACGATGTGTGTCCCGGTGATGAAAAGCAACACTTGATCTCCTGTGAAAAGATTTGTTGCTAATGACATCTGGATGTCTGGAGAAGACAATGACATTTTTTGAGGTGTCCACCAAGCTCACTTCCTAAATCGGCACACTAAGAAAAGGGAAATAAACCGTGCAACACAGAGAGACCTGGTGCAGTACAATAGGGAATAAGCATGACGGGATAAAAATCTGACCGGCAGGCATCTCCCACAGAACCAATGGATAGACAGAAGTATTCTTGCCTGGTTATTCCCCCAAGAACCAGATGGCGCTAAAAATCTGAAGGTATTTCCAGGTTTGGGAAAAGACAGTTTTTTTGTCGTTATTGGTCCCATCTGTATTGCCTGCTGTGGCGGATAGAACGTCTTCTGCTAAGAGTTATAACTCAATCCTAAAGTAAAAAACACAATGTTTTCTGTCTTTCCCCAATTGTACACACCTTTTTTTGCCCTAAACATTGCATCGATCATCGGTATACATCATAGGTGGCTGAGTAAAATTCGTGTGATATAAGGGGAAAAACTAAAGAAGAAAAATACATCATCACTTACACAACATCACAACCACCCACAGAACTAAATCACGTGATACGACTGTGACACCTACTTTTGGGCCCACTACATAAGGTCCCAACAAGTCACCCTACCATTAAGACCCAACCCTACCCCCTATTATTATGTTCCAATCTAAGTTCCCTTACCTTTGGGTCCAAGTCCAACGGCCATAGTCCTGGTCATGTGATCAACTGCCGCCTTGGACATGCTGTAGATGATCTCATCGGTGAAGGTGTAGACGCTGGCCATGGACGATACGTTCAGGATGCATCCCTGCGTCTTATCCAGGTGTGGTATTGCCTCCAGGTGTGGTATCGCCTCCAGGTGTGGTATCGCCTCCAGGTGTGGTATCGCCTCCAGGATCAAGAAGAACACAGACTTAACGTTGATGTCCAGGATCGTGTCAAAGGCAGCTTCCATGGCGTTGTTCAGGCCGCCGTCTTGAAAGAGAATCCCGGCATTTGTCACCAGGACATCCAGGCGGTTAAATTTGTCGATTGTCTGTTGGATAATCTGTTTCCTGACTTCTGGGTCGCAGACATCGCCTTGTATGGTTTGAAAACTAGATTTTTTCAAAAATTAAAAAGATAAGCTATTATAACATTTATTGTCATCATCATCATCATGTCCCTTAGTCCTTGGACCGTTGGGGCGCCACAGATGACATGACAATAATTATTAATTCAAATTAATAAGTTACAATTCGATCGTTACTGTAATTGATGTAATAATCTCTAAGCCGAATATTGCCGGCAATTGGCAACCTTGAGATTGGGGGGAGGGGGGATTAGACACTTGATACTACCACCAGGGGTCAAGTCCTGGGGAAAAAAATGTCGGAACCCATCCTAGATCTCCAACTCCACCCCCACCTCTTTTTTCTTTCTGAACACTTCCCCCACCCACCCTTATTAAAGTACATCAATTATTTTCCAATGTGTTCCTCCATGACTGGGCCAATATTACTACCATACTTCTTTCTTTTTAAAAAATATTTTCACATAATTTAGCTTGACAATATCTTATAAAAAATATTTTCACATAATTTAGCTTGACAATATCTTATAAAAAATATTTTCACATAATTTAGCTTGACAATATCTTATAAAAAATATTTTCACATAATTTAGCTTGACAATATCTTATAAAAAATATTTTCACATAATTTAGCTTGACAATATCTTATAAAAAATATAAAAATTTCAAGCACTGAGTTTTTCTGGTTTTTAAAAGATGCTAATTAAATTGTGATTATATACGTGTACCTGTCATAGTAACCTCCCCCTGCCTGTACACATTTCTCGAGCGATGCTTGAAGTCTTGCCTCGTCTTGTCCGCACAAGTTGACCTTTGACCTCTCTGAGCAAACAAGATGGCAGCAGCCTCCCCTACCCCTGAGCTCGACCCTGTGGTGATGATGACAACTTTATCTTTGAGGTCAGACATCTAGAGACTTGAAAGGAAAAAATTAAAAGTTTTTCTTTAAAATGTTATTAAAATGTGTCAACAGTTGAGAAATATTTCATGAATACAATATTAGTCATAGGGTTATTTATCAATTTCTATACACCATAAACTATTAGTCAGAACTAATCGTAGGTAAAATAGTGTGTGTTATTAAAGATCTTCTCTCAGAACGCATTTCAATCTTGTGGATGTGTTGCAAGAGCATTTATTTAATTTTTGTATACACGGTACATTATAGAGTTCTTGGGCAGTGTTCACCTGGTGAACAGCTTGAAAACTAGGTCAATGGAGGCAGATTGACGCTGTCGCTCAAAATATCATGGTTGACCGCATCAGCTTTGTGGTTGAGTGAACAAGTGGGTTGATAAACTCAGTTTTATGCCTGTGTAAAGAGTAAAGTCATTTCAAACGGGTTTTTGTAAGCATCTAATGTTTACAAAAATAAATATTTTTACTTTTGTCTATAATTTAAAGATAATTTTAATACTAAACTAGCAAAAAAATAACTCAATAAACTTTTTAAAAAGCACTAACAAGTAGAAAATTTCTTAAAATGCATTATGCAAAGAAAGTTTGTGCAGAAAATGTTTTCAAATATTAATAAAAGTAAAACATATTAAAGTTTTTTCTGCATTCTGCAATTAGTTCGAATTTTTCTTCATCTGTTGGCCGTATGTCCTTCACTAGATGTTTCAGGGGAGGCGAGGGCGGCGGGAGAGCCCTACATGAAGACAATGTTCTATGGCACAGCTCAGCAGATGGAACTGATTGCCAAGGTAACAGTCGGAGTAATCTAAAACCTTCAACAGAATGTGTGTGTGTGTGTGTTAGTTAGCTTCATAGACTGCTCATCTACACTTCTGCACAGTCTTTCTTTCAGCAATGAATTTTAAGAAATTTTAAATTATTTTCTATTTTTAATCTATACGATCACAAAAATCAGTTTTTAGAAATCTGTCACAGTAACTCCGAATTTGACACAGTTTGTGCAGCCACATGACCTAAAATATACAATGACCAAGCTGCGATAATGCTATTTATAATATTAAATCCTAAATGATATTTATAGCAAAGACAAGATGATCTTGATTTCATTCTAAGCAACAGACCTCTATTTTTTTCCGATCAGTTCTGAGTTTTCTACATTTTACTGTATGTTTATGACTTTTTAGTTGTTTAATTTACACAATAATGAATTTTAGCTGTCCGGATTATGGGGAGAGGTACATCCAGAGCATAGGGCGACTACTAAAAGTTAAAAAAAATGTCAAATTTCACTGTAGCTAGATGAATTGTCCTATTACCATAATAACACATAAAACTGCCAGTAAAAAAGAGATACATAACAATTTGAAGCCATTAAAAAAATATATTTAAAAATGTCATGCTGAAATTTGGCCGGTGAGACAAAAAATTGTTTTAGGAAGTTTAAGCTCAAATTTATTACACTTTATTAACCACACAGTAATATGGATTAGCTATAGTGTGGACTAGGAAAAGTGTAATATATTGAATACTTTTTGTATCACAGCATCATAGCTATATCTTAATTATGACATTTAAATTCAGACTTTGAAGGATTGTTAAATTTATATTGTAATATGGTTTATGCAAATTATGTTTATTTATACAAATTGGTTGATATTTTAAAAAGTTATCATCAATTATGTGAACTAAGCGTTGAAATTTTGTGAATAAGCACACAATAATTTATTTGTAAAAAAAATATATTGTCTAATCTTAATGACCCCCTGAAAGAAAAAGATGTCTTTTAGCTTCAACTTTTGACTCTTCTAACCCTAATTTAAGCCTTCTTCTTGCTCCTCTGGCTTCTAAGGATTTTGTCATTTGTTGTTGTGGTTTCGATATTTACCATAATGAAATAGTCAAATGTAAATGACCACAGGACAGCTGCTAAACTCTTAAAGGAGCCTCCAATGCTTTGGATCCATCATTGAAAAGAAGGGTTGCCAATCCAACACCAATGTTGACAGCTCATAAATCACAATCACATTACTTGTTCTTAGGGCACATTTCAATACAATACTAGCAATATTCATTGATTAGTTTGCATCTAAAAATTTACTAAAAAATGATGAGAAAATTCTCTAAAAATTGGCTTTTTGTTATATCCATTTCTACTTATTCACTGTTTTTACAAACATTCAAACTTCAAAATTAATTTACATGTACAAAGTCTCAACCTTCACCTTCACCTGAATCATTCAGGCTGAATGAGAATCATTTATTCCATAGAAATCATTTAATTTAATTTCTGACCAGTTATGGTGGTCGTGGTAGTCGGTGTATCAAGATCAATACATTTGGGTATTTTAGACAAGTGAAACTGAAAGTATATTTCATCTTGAAATCTTCAAATCAATGATTCAATAAAATTCAATTCAATGACAATGAAAAATGATTCATGGTAATGAATCAGATTCATTGTTTTGAGTAGTTACATTTAAAATATCCTCACTGGGTCCAATATTAGGCTTAGTATATCTATTTCCATGAAAC